GCGCTTGGAGCGGGGCTGCAGAGGACAGCTAGGGCTGCCCCCCATGCGGCCCAAACCAAATTTATGTGTGGCCCAAACCAAATTTTCATCTTCTAATGTGGCCCAGGGAAGGTGAAAGGTTGGACACCCCTGCTTTAGACCCTTCTCTAGCAAAAAGGAAAAGGAAGGAAGGTGTATTGGTCACCCTGTCATGCATGTTCAGCAGTGCATTTACATGAACCAATAAGGAGCTGTTGGGAGGCGGAGCCAGCTATATAGAAGGGGGGCTGAATCAGAGAGTGGGGGAGATAGAGAAAAAAGGAATACAGAGTTTTGAAGAGAGGGAGAGATAGTTTGGGAGTTTTATGGCAGAGAGTGGTTTTAGTGAGTGAACAGTTAGAGTGTTATCTGGATTAGTTAAGTATAGGAGGAATATACTGAACGCTTTGTGTCACTTTAAGAATGTGCTTAAGAACTATTCATGAAACAACTTGTAACCAATAAACCTGTTCTTATTTCAAAGTTGAGTACTAAATGGACCTCAGACTTTCACAGTAAGCGTAGTTGGTAAAGAAAGAGATCAACTGGTGGCAGTGTAGTAAAGGAGGTGGTGGGTACCTGAGATTGGGTACATAATCTAGATACATGCAAGAGGCATGCCAGAGATCGATGGTGAGCAACAGGGTACTAAGACAAATGATGTTAGCTTGTAGGACAGTCACAACAGAAGGATCAGCTGTCAGCCCTGGAATTCCAGCATTGCTAAAACCCATGACGGACAGGTCCCAGAAGCGTTTCCTTTGGTGCCGGGAGCCTGCAAGTCTAACCACTGGCATTACTTTGTGATTTCCTTTGCTGTGGCATTGTTAGTGCTGGCAATAAATATCCCACCGGCCCTGGGAGGGATTACTTCCACCAGCAGAACACATGCCACATCTGAAGAGTACTTATTTATATTCTAAGTGCACATGCTGTCCTACAGCACATAGCAGGATAAGTTGAAATAAAATCGAATTTACTATAAGTCTGGGAATTTTTTTTCTGTTTTAATTTCTTCAAATGTCCTCCATGTCTTTAACAACCACTTTCCCTGTGGTCTCATCAAGGAGCAGTATCTTCAGGATTAGCATATAATAATCCAAATAACCCGTGCCACCACCACTTAAACAGTGTGTACAACATCACCTGGTCTTTAACAAACTGCAGGATTTTGTAACTACAGATGGTGCGTTGTTTTTAAAAGACAGAGAATTAAGACCACTGAAGAACAGCTATCAATGAAACTTAAGAATGTATTTATTGTATAAGATTGCTTTTGAGAAAAATTTATCTGCCTGAGATAAAGGCAAATGCAGGATTTAGATGTAAAGAGCAACCAGCAAATGGCGAATTGCAATCCGCAAACAAAGAAAGAAATAATCTGAAGGGCTCTTTTAAATATGAAGAAACGTAAAGGAAAAAACAAAGAGTGGACATACATTTATTAATTAATTTCACTCTTAGCAAACAACTCTTGAAAATTCTTTTTAAAAGTACCTCTTCCCTCTTAATCCTCCCCATATTATACAAGACAGTTAGGGAGTCACCAGTTAGGGAGGGAAAGAAATTGAAGTTCCTGTTCGAAGCTGAATTTCCATTCTTTTCCAGTTCAGATCAACCTTCTGGTGCATCTTTGTGTTACTTAATCTCTGTTTGGCATTCACAGGAAGCCTTGCAGTCTTTCTGGACCCAGTCCTGCTCACAACCATACTCTCTTATTGTATCTGCACAGTTCAGTTGACGATCTCTGTACTTGCATGGATTGGCTAAAAGGAATGAAAAACAAAACAAAATTAGGTATGAAAGAGAAAGGTTGAGAGACAAAGAGTCTTTGACAAACATGTTGCTGTTTTGCCTGTTGCCACTCTTGCTTGAAGAGCTTTCCCATTGTTATTAACCCTTTGCTAAGGGCTACTTTTTTTGACACATGCCATTTGGAGCTGCCTTTGAAATGATGAGAAGACAGAGCTGACAATAGAAAGCTGTGGCCCATTTATTAAGGCTCATGCTTAGCTGAAGGTCCCAGCCTGCATCAGGCTGTGCAGCCTTCACAGTAATCTCCCTGGATCTCAACACCCTCCTCACTGGCCCACAGCAGTATCAATCATCATATGTTCGAAACTGGGCTGTCTCCATGACAAGAAGTACTAACTGATGGAAATTCAGGGGGACAAATTATGGCACAACCTTGATGGCCATTCCTCTATGAGAAATTAACGCTATGTTGAACAATTCTATGTTATCAATGTTGATTTCTAATTTGATGGAAAAGACATTTCATTTTCTGAAAAGGATTTCAAAGGAGGATAAATTTCAGAAAAATTATCTGGGGAGGTTCAGGCTTCATGTGTTTACCTTACTCATGAGGTGGCTGAGAAGTAAATGCCTGCCTTTCATGGTACAGCCAGCTCTGTGACAGTCAGGAACCCACCCACCCCTCATTTGCACAGCTCAATTAAAGCTCAGAGGATGACAACATAACCCCTCCCACAGGGCTTTTTCACAGATCAAGAGGAATGGGCACATCCAGAGTGACAACAAAATGTGTAATATAAAGAAAGATCAAATGCAGCATCCTCCACCATTATACAATATCATGGTAAGTTCAAAAGCAGAAACAAAATAAATTCTAAAGAGAACTCAGAATGGCCCTTTTAATAATGTAACATTACTGCAGCCAGTGTTACAGCCAGTGAAGATTGGTGACTAAGTCTGGAGATGTTGTGAATCATTCTAGGTTTTAGTCTGCACATTACATGAGGTATCCAAAGTGCTGAATCCTATCCACAAAATAGCTCCAGAACCTTCTATAGTTCCTGCAGCATGCAGATTAAACCCTGGAGCGGATTCACAGCGTGTCTGAAATGGGAGTCACCCGCTTTCACTAGCTGAACTCTGAAATGAACCAAGACAAGATGTCAGAAGATTTTGAGATCTGTCTATTTCTTTCTTGCCTAAAGATGGGTGGCCACTTTGTAGAATCGTTTTCAAAATGTCTTCACTCATTTTTTTTTCTGCCAGCCCACCACCACAGTTGCAATGCCCTAAAATGACACCAAATGGAGGACATTGTGGAGGAAACAAAAGTGTTCAGGCTGCCTACACAGTTGCACAGTTGCCACCTGCAAAGGCAGTGCTAAAATGTTTTTCAAAAAAATCATTTGGGGAAAAAATAGAACAACATTGTTTTATAGACACTGCTCATGGTAAGGTGTTGCTATAGTAGAAAATTTATCCTTCCCTTAGAGAAATTTGGTGAAATCTTCCACCCAACTTCTCTTCCCACAAGCCAATTAGAGAATTTCAAAAGGCCATTTGTCCACAGCTACACTGATCCCCATAGGTGGTCAAGCTTTACAAGTGATTCTGGAGAAATTTGCTCCTTCTAACACTGATTATTAGAAAAGAATTAATATGCTTTTAGTTATTAATAAAAACTTACTGCAGAGTTTATCTTCACAGTTGTGAGGGCAGTCTCCACATGGTGGGCCTTTTTTGTAGGGTGTTGCTATTGACTCTAATATGTTACCACTGAAATCACAGAGGAATGCATAGTGTTGATCAATCATCAAAGTACAGTTCATGAGACAAAGAGAGATGTACTACATAGAAGACTGCATACTGTGACAGTTTTATTCAAGTCAAGTTACTTTCCGGTTACTGATGAAAGATGGAAACATCCCACATGTTGGAAACAATTCCTATATGCAAACTTTAGCACATTGTACCAAATACTGAGCTAAAATTCTGGATTGTCTCACTTCAATCTGCAGGTGAGGAGTCACACATATAGACACTGATAACAGAGTTCAGCACACCCGTCATCTTGGTGTATTCATTTACTATACTAGCCTGCAGTTGACCACTAGTGCTTTGGACACTGACCCATCTTTACATCAGTGTATCAATGCAAGAGGACAGTGTACTATCAGTGTTAAAGGAGCAGTAGTGGCATGAGTGGTAAAGAACTCTGCCGTTTTGTAGCATAATTCTGACCATTTCTTTTTTTGTGGCAGGATGCTTGAATACATTGGGACAAGTCAAATCAATGGAAACTGGAATATACTTTAATCTGGGTTCCTGAATTGAGCAGGGGATTGCAGTTGATGGCCTTAAAGATCCCTTCCAACTCTATTAGACAATGATTAGTGGCATGAGTGGTAAAGAACTCTGCCGTTTTGTAGCATAATTCTGACCATTTCTTTTTTTGTGGCAGGATGCTTGAATACATTGGGACAAGTCAAATCAATGGAAACTGGAATATACTTTAATCTGGGTTCCTGAATTGAGCAGGGGATTGCAGTTGATGGCCTTAAAGATCCCTTCCAACTCCATTAGACAATGACTCTATATAGAACACCAGAAATGCTATCTGAAACCAATATGTAACGGAAACAAGAAAAAGGATTTCAGATGGTTTTGGGCAAGGTGGCACTCCCCTTGAAGAACTGGGTTCTCAGTTTGAGTTTAGTCATAGCAGCAGCAGCAGTAGCAACTAAATGCAAGAGTAGTCGTGGGGAAGGGATACTTTGTATTATGGTTAGAGATGGGCATGAATCAGCAAAAATGGTGATTTGTTTTGATTCATGGTTCATCAAGGTCAACAAATCACAAATTATAAATTTACAATTTTTTCCTGAAGATTCAATTAATCAATTTGTCTATTTGATTTTTTTTAATTTTAAAACCCTATAAAATGCCCCCCTAAGCACCTAGAGACAACAAATTCACAGGGAAGCTTCCCCGGACTCCCCTCTACAAGCCTGCAAGTTTGGTGTACCTAAAATTCTGGATGTCCAAGATCCTCCTCAGGAAAGTTTTCCCCAGGCATGTAGAAACACCAAAATCACAGAGAGGCTTTCCCTGACTCTCCACTACAATCCCTCCAAGTTTGGTGAAGATTGGGTTTCGGACATCAAAGTTGTACACCAAGGTCCCCCCAGGAAAATGTCCTTTAGCAGCTGGCTAGGGGAAACCTAATATTCACCAAACATGGAGGGACTGTAGAGGAGAATCATGGGAAGCCTCTCTGTGATTTTGGTGTCTCTAGGTGCTCGGGAAGGGGACTTTCCTGGGTGGGTCCTCTTTGTAGGTGTATAACTAGAACATCGTAAACCCAATCTTCACCAAACTTGGGTGGATTGTAGAGGAGAGTCAGAGGAAGCTCCCCTGCAATTTTGGTGTATTTAAGTGCCTGGGTATGTGTGTTTAATAGCCAAATGAATTGACAAATATAAAATCACTAAAACATTGTTGATTTGTATTTGTCAGGAGCATTGATTCATGAAAATACGAATCGAAGAATTAGCAATTTTTTGAATGAATTTGATTATTCATTTTTAATTGATGCCCACCTCTAAACGTAGCCCATTGGTGTACATGGTCCAATGAGTCATACAGCTGAGACTTCTGCTTCATTTTTGTGCAACCTGTGAAGCACTTGTACATCTAGGGTGTGTAGTGGCATTGAAGTTACTGTAATGTGCCACAGTCAAGACTTCAACATTGAGAAGTAGGACCATTTCTGTCACTTGAGATAAAGGATGAAATGACATCCACCTGATTTCAGGTATATAAATTGACCAGGATTATAGCCAGGGCTTACTTCAGTAGTGGTGATAGGATAGTAATCTACACCATAACTGAGGATAAAAAGCCAGTTTAAGGGTGAATGGCAAGCTGCTACATTCTCTAGTTTTTAATGACAAAAATCTGCTGTCTGAGGCAGCTGCAGCATTCAGCCCAAAAGCCTGCATTCGATAACAGTTGTAGAAATATGACAACCTGTGGCTTGTTGAGCAAATAGCATGGTTTGCTGAATCTAAGCCTTTGCAGAGGATTTTTGCAATATATTGTGTAAAGTCCTAGGATGAAAACAATTATAAGTAACACAAGTTTTTCTTATAAAAATACAACATAATATTACAAACTCTAAATGGAGTAATATGATTCTGTGCTACTTGGTCTGAGTGCCAGAGATCCAGCATTAAAACAGAACAACTTTCATTGAAATTTACATGCACACACACACAAATGCACACACTCATTGCATACACAGTTCTCTTCTCATTTGCTGAAACACATGAAGAAGCTTCAGCACACAAGCCCTGTTTGCCCCAGAAATCATGTAGAGGCTAAATTAAGAACATGGTATTTAAAACTGGTACTTACACAGGACAATAACGGCACATATAAAGGTAAGGGTAAGCATTCCCTTGACAGTAGGCAAATGTACATCCAATCTTATGTGAACTATACCAAACCATCTGCAGGCAGAAAAACACTTTTTTAAATAGTAAATTTTGACACAAAAATTAGTTGTGTGATTATACTGTCATAGAATATTACTATTTCAGTGATATGAAATATATCTCATTTGAAACTATTAGGGGGTACAATTCTTCATAAAGCACATAGGGCTGATTTTGTGTGGCATCGCTGCCTTTTTTGTGCATTTACACAAAATGGCACTCCCAGCTTCCTGGTGAAGGCACCTACATGATGCAGATTTCCCCATTTTGACACAGCATGTTTTAAGTGGGGAAAGCAAAACAACTTATGTGGACAACGAAACATCAAATGGCTGAAATCCAATTGGCACAACTATGGAGTATAAATGGTGATGATATTGTCACCCAGTGCCCTTCATCTTTATTTTAATTTAATTTAAAACTTCCTATCCCTCCCTTTCAGATTCCAAGGCTCCCTAAGGCTGTCTTTCTGCCTGGGGAAGTCTTTGGGAGCATGAATTGGGGGAATTAAAATCCTGGATAGCTGGCAGTGGTCCCAATCCAGTGGCCAGAAAACCGGTGGCAATATTGTGATGTTAAAGGTTTCCCACCATCCAGCCATCCCCACCATCTTAGGCAGAGTTAGAATTCCTATTATCCTTCCTGAATGCATTTCTGTAATAAAAAGTGATTTTCTTATTTTCCCCAAATAAAAAATTTGGATCTGATCACTTTCAAAACATGAAGGATGCTCCACTAACCACTCAGGCATTTCAAAGAGCTGCACCTGTTGCTAATGTAGCTGCAATAAGGCAGTTCAGTCCTAACTAAAATATGTTGTGGCTGTGTTAGGTACACCCCTGTTCTACCCGCACATGATTGCCTAACGCACATCAGTGGCATGAGACAGTAGTACAATAGGAAATGCCTAGACTGACTGCTTAACTTGCAGTAATTTCTTGCAGAAAGTTGCTCCAGTTGCCCTAACACTGGTGGAAATGCATAATAGGATTCTGGCCATAGTTTTATTCTGAACCCATCTTTCATTAGGCAGAATCTCTAGTAAATACAAATTACAATATAAATAAATTTAATGCCATTGTAAGTATATACACAGTATACACATACAACGAAATTCACACAGACACCCAGAGACCAGAGCCACATGCACACACATAAAAAATTCCCAAACACTCCCCGCCCATTAAAAATTCCCCACTAAGAACACAAATACCTACACCGCAGGCTAAGTAACACTGTCCAACTGTTCACTGCTGATGGTCTTTAAGTTCATTATTAAGTGCAATTATAGCTCTGGAATAAAAACTATTCAGAAAACGTGTGACCCAAGTCTTAATTGTTCTGTATCTTCTGCCAGATGGCAACAGTTCAAAGAAGTTGTGGGCAGGATTGGGAAAGTCTCTGTTGTGTGACTTCCTCAGAAAGCAGGATGTGAAGATATCATCCAGGGTTGATAGCTAGAGCCCAATGATATTCTGGGCAATTTTAATGGTTCTCTGTAGAGCTTTTTTGTTCTCTACAGAGCTTCTCCCAAACCATACAAGAATGGCATAGGTTAGGACACTCTCAATGGTGCTACAATAGTAGGACAGAAGTAAATGCTGAGATAAATTGAACTTCCCAAACATTCTCAGGAAATACAGCCTCTTCCGTGCCTTCTTCACCAGCATGTTGCCATTTATATTCCCTGAGAGGTCCTCTGAGATGTAAGTGCCCAGAAATTTAGAACTACCAACTCTCTCCACTTTCTCACCATTTATATACAGTGGTAAATGTACATTTCCCTTCCTCCTAAAATCAATTATGAATTCTTTAGTTTTTTTTAATCTTAAGTGTAAGATTATTTTCTTTACACCACAGTATCAACCCTTGTACTTCCTTTCTATAAGCAGACTCATTGTTCTAATTTATGAGCCCCACCACTGTCTTATCGTCTGCAAATGTAATAATTGTGTTGGTGTTTATACAGTGGGGTGCAATCATGTGTGTACAGGGAATAGAGGAAGGGACTTAGCACACAGCCCTGGGGAGCTCCTGTACTTAGTACCAAGGTAGAAGAATGGTGAGATCCCATCCTTACTGACTGTAGCCTATCTGTCAGAAAGTCCTTTACCCACACACAAATCTTCTGAGGTAATACTAGGTTGATAATTTTAAAAAAACAACCTATTGGTTAGAATGGTATTAAAAGCAGAGCTATAATCCACAAACAACAACCTTGCATAAATTCCCTGTTGTTCTAAGTGACTCAATACCAGTATGGAGAACAATGGACGTAGCATCATCAGTAGATCTACTTCTCCTGTATTTAAATTGCCATGGGTCCAAAGAAGGTGGAAGACTAGCCTTAATATAATCCAGCACCAATCTCTCAAAACATTTCATAATAACAGATGTTAAAACTACTGGTCTATAATCATTGAGAGATACCACAGCTGACTGCTTGGGGACTGGCACTCTAATAGATGTCTTCAAGCAAGTGGGGACAGAACACTGCAACAAGGATAAATTGAAAATATCCATAAAAACTCCAGCTAATTCTGCAGCCCAGCTCCTAACAACCCATCCCATGATTCCATCTGGTCCAGCTGCCTTTCGAACGTTAATATTCTGGAAAGCGCGTCTCACATCTGAAATCTGCAGTACTAGTGGTTGTCTCTCGATGGTAGATTCTAGTGATGTACTATAGATAGTAGGTGCTGGATTAATGGTTGTTCCTGTTTACAGGAACAGCTGGAAACTCCTAGTCTGCCTCTGCTGGCATGTGTTTTGTGATGCTATTTGTGTATTTTGTTTTATTAAGAAGTTTGCTTTAAATGTATCTTCTTGTTTATATTTTTATTTTGTAAACCTCTTTGTGTTTGATTTTATCACAGAATGACATACATTCTCAGTGGGGGGAAGCTAATAAACATGTGTACATTTCTTTTCCTACCTGAGTATATGCAAAACTCGATCTCTGTTCCTCTTGTGGTCTTTTTATTCCATACTTGAAAGCTGCACTTGTAGAATTCCACGTACGGATAACATCAGACCATCTTCTGGCAAAAGTGGCTTGTGATATACTCTCACCACAGAGTATTCCTAAATTACAAGTATACTACTTTGTAGTGGTTTATAATGTTAATAAGGCACTGTCTTCTTCTGTGTCCCATCTCAGCTTTGTTCTCACCCCCCACAACCATGTAAGTGAATGGCACCTTAGCAGCCATTTCAATGCAATTTCATCATACCCTTTTTGATACATGCCAGGTTAGGAATTATTTTGTTACTATGCTTAATAGACTGCTTAATTGGTGGTTTCTAAATAGCTTTGCACATAGATCTCGGTTATGTCTGCATGCCCAAAAGCTGCTGTTCTCGAATTTCTGCCTAGTTATGCCTAGAAGTGAGCAGTGTTTCATCTCTTGGATGGCAGCTTATTCCTGGATGCTCCAAATCGATCTGAATGGCCCTGCTTTCTTTGCATTGGGCCCGCCAGTTCTCTCCTTAGCCCTTTTTGAATGCCCTTAATGCCGCCCTCTGCTACAAGGCAGCCCCTGAGATTTTTCAGAAACTGGAATTTGATGCTGGCTGATAAAAGTAATCCCTGCTAAATTAGGTAATAATTGTATATGCTGTCAAGTCAGTTCTATCTTTTGATAACCCTAGAGACAGAGCAATCCAATGTGGTTTACCACTCTCTTCTCATGGTGCACTGGGACTTTCCCAAAGCTGTACAGGCTGGTCTTCTCCCACAAGGCATAGCAGGGAAGAGAATCCCTGACCCCCAGCTCTGCAGCCAGGTACTCTAACTCAAGGAGTTATCCAGCCAGCCTTGCTGTATTAGGGTCTGACAATTATATACTTCATTTTTATTGTACAGTATACAAGGCAAGGCAAGATTCAAAACTGGCAGCTCCCAGTTTATGGAATGCTCTCCCTCGGGAGATTAGGTGGGCCCCCCCTCCCTTTTATTCTTCCGCTGACAACTGAAGACCCATCTCTTTAGGCAGGCTTTTAACAATCATGACTGAATCCCTGAATGCCTTCTTAGTGTTAAGATAGTTTTTTATTGTTTACTTGGTTTTAATTATTCAATTGTATTTTAATTAGCATATAGATTAAACTTCTTTAATGTTTAACTTATTATGTTTTTAATTCTATTCCTTTTAATATTGTGAGCTGCCTTGGGAGAAAGGCAGCCTACTACTACTACTACTACTACAATCAATGTTTTTACAATTTCGATTGACTATGCCTCGTATTTTTGAATACTAATAACAACTCTCTTTTCCATGCTACTTACCATCTACAATTCTGCCATTCATAGGAGTGGTTTTGCCTGTACATTGCTGAGCCCATTCTTTAGCACTCTCCGCAGCTTCCTCACTCCACGTCTTCATAAAGCAAACAAAGAAATGTATTAGTTACCTTTTTGTTGAGCCTTAACAGACAAATGCTATACAATGGAGCACACACATTGAACAGCTAAACTCCCAACAATCAAATATTCAGCAGATAAATGAGCCAGATTCCAGTCCACCCCTTAGCCCCAACTTCCCTTCCTAAGAAGTCCATCTGCAAAAGCTGAGCTTTCCCAAAAGGCTTCCACTGGCACTGGTTTAACTGTGAAGCTGCAAAGAAGAATCATATGCATATCATCCTTTAAGAAAGGTGTACAGTTCCTTGAACAGTTACTAATGCTTGCTTTGGAACCCCATGCACATTTCTCCCTGCTGGAGCTGGTGAGCGGTGCTGGAGACATTCGAGAAAAAATTGGACAATCATCTGTCAGACCTACTATGATTTGGATTCCTGCACTGACCAGGGAGTTGGACTCAATGGCCTTATAGGCGCCTTCCAGTTTCATTATTCTATGATTCTAAGCCACTGCATTTTACAGGTTCCTGTTGTATTCTTCCTGTTGTAAGAATATCTAACTTTTAAGCTAACAAAGTGCTGTGAGATAGTATTGAGATTGAGATTTTCATATAGGAGTAGCTACCCTGAAAGTCCACATTTTGGTAAATGCAAAAATTTCATTTATTGTCTCAAGAAACCCATTCAGAGTTGGGGGGAAAAAAACCTAAATCTAGTTACACAAGCCCCTACATTTTCTGTTTGCTGGTAGTAACTATTATGGAAGAGCTCCCATCTGTGGCTACCTCCCTTTATTAAAAGGAAACAATCTCTGTTTTCCAGATGGTCACCTCCTTGCCGACAGCTATTTCATGTTACTTCATACATGCATTGATACGTTCTACTTTTGACACTTATGAAGAGTGAGCACAGCACCCAGGAGTCCATGTTTCGTTGCAGATGTTCCAAAGAACATGCTGAGATTCTCTACTGCCTCCCCCCCATTCTCAACTACTGCTCAAGTGTGTTCCTGAGTTGCCATGCCAAGGCAGTTGTTCCAACTCTGTCTGCTCCCATGAGATCTTCACCCTGACCTCCATGACTCTCTTCCCCAAGACCCTACATGGGATATTTTCATGGAAAGTCATAGAATGGAGAGGAGAGGCTCATTTTAAGATGAAATCAGACATTAAAGAGAATGTACATTCTCTTCAACTGATGTGCTTTCTTCTCACAACAGAGTTTCCTTAGCAATCAGACTTTCAAGGTAAGCTAATGTTTCCCTTACACTGAACAGTTGCAAAACAAATTACATTCAATGCAAAATACTCAGTTGAGGAACATGTGTCCTTAAGACACAGGTTGAAATCCTGTTGCTTTAATTTACACTGTGTAAGACTGATGGTGTCATCAGCCATGGTGGTTTTTCAGAAATCAAGACTTTTTGATTCCACCTCCTCAAAAGGTCCAGAAGGTCTCTTAGCATCTCTTTCATTGTGCAGAAGCCATTGGAAGCATACGGTGGAGCAGGGAGACTTTAATGACCACAAATTATCACTGCCAGTAAAATCATGCCAACAGCAGCAATTTTCAGAAATTAGCCACCTAGAGTGCTCCGGTGGTCCAGATAGGCAGGGTATAAATCAAATAAATAAATAAAATAAATTAAATAAATAAATAAAGTCTCCCCCCCCCTTAAGCTGTATTCCACAAGGACTTCCCTTAGACAAAAAGGATCCCAAAGAAGACTCCAAACCTTTGGTGCAGGAGGGTAGAAGTTTTTAATTAAAAAAACCCCAAACACTGAATTGATTATATCATCAGCCTTAAACACCATCAGTTTCAAGCAACAGAATTCCAGTCATATATTAGCAGGTACACTATTTCTAAAAATATTATAAATGTATCTGAAAGTTGAGTCATGGCAAGTGGACTTCTTTCTGATTAGGCTGAAACGTTTCACTACTCGTCCAAGTCGCTTCTTCAGACTGAGTAGCTTGGATGAGTAGCAAAACGTTTCAAACTAATAAGAAAGAAGTCCAGTTGCCGGGACACAACTTCCAGATAACCTCACCTGGAGGACTGAGAATCTTCACAGATCATAAATGCACCTTCTATTTTATTCCAGGGGAAAGAGATGAATCCAATACCATCCAGTGTACTGGACATGCGCCATAAGCCAGTTTGCCTGCCTCAAGACAGTACGAGCAGATGAAGTGGAAAGAGCCTCGAGGTACCTTAGTCCTAAGGGATGGACTAAGGATCAGAGCTTGGAAAAGTTACTTCTTGAACCACAATTCCAGTGGCCATCCTTGGACTCTGAAATTTCCCACACAGGTCTAGGAATTGTAGTCCAAAAGGCAATCTCTTAGGTTCTGCTCAGAATGATATCTAGTGGATCAAGGATGGACTCATGGCTTGTTAGTGACCCTAGACAGAAGACCAGTTAATCCACATTGCACAGCACCAAAAGATTTTGTTGTGTTGGCAGTGGAAGATATCAAACTGCTTGCAGAAGCTGGATTGGTGTTAAATCTAACACATTGGGCAAAATCCTTTTGCATAAATTTGTGCCTGGTACAACCTGGATTGAGTGCTGGAAACATTTTATTTACATTGATTTAAAGTTTCCTATCTCTCAGTCCTATTTTAGATTCAGAGGCTCCCTAGGACTCTCCTTTGCCCTGGAAAAGCCTTTGAGAGCCTCAGGACAGAGAGAAGATTCTTTAAAAGTCAAAAATCACTGTTGGACTGCTGCCAGTGAGACTGGGACTGCCACTGGCAACAGGATTTTGCCCATTACAAAGCTGAAAGAGTTGTCATAAACAGCCCACCATATGAAAGTAAAAAAAAAAAAAATGAAGACCTGATTCTCATAGTAGCAGTGTTTTTCCTCTCCTGGAATCTGCAAATTAAATTTCTGTGTTTCGTGACTGGTTTTCAAGACGTAAGCATGAGATTCTTTTGAAGTCTTATTTCCCAAAGACAAAAACCTCCTCAGTCATGTCTCTCCTACATTGACACACTTTCAGCCTCAAGCAAGCACTCTCTGTAACATCTGTATTTGCCCTCAAAAAGCACTGGTCTGCAATCTCTACCATTCCCAGTGGTCACCACAGCTCCTGAAGTTGGTCAAAGGGTGCTCTGCTTGCCCGTCTCATAAGGGGAAGGACAGGCAGTAGGGAGTTGCACACTTGGCAGCTGCTGTTGCCAGGAAGGAAACAAAGGGGAGGGGGTGATGGTGAACAGGGAGGGGGAGTAAAGATTCTTCTCCAGGAGATGCTGAAATCTAGAACTGGCGCTGAGCAGAAATCAGAGAAAGCAGAAAAACAAGAGTTATCAATCAAGATCTGAGCTGGAAACCAAGATCTGAATAGGCAATTGTACTGAATTTTTGAGAAAGGCGGAAAGCACAGAGAGGAGTGAACACAGAAACCAGATCAAGGCAATGAACATTTAGCAGGCATTGTAGGCTGAGGAAGGATGTAGCTCACATATCTCAAGTCTCTAGATCTTTTCACTGAAGCCATTTTGAATACTTTGGTTTTCCAAGTGCACTATGTCTCAAAGTCCATATCAGCTCTGGAGTTACGACTGGAAAAAAGATTTGCCTGCAATGACATGGCAAAAACCTCCAACAGTTATCTGGAAACAAAAATGAATTATATTGTACCATCTTCAGCATATTGCTGGCAGTTGGACGCACTCTTCTCCTAATATTATTGTATGCATCAACAATTTCTTTCTGTTGCTTTTCAGAGAGGCTCATCGCCATGCCGTTCTCCCCCTGAAATTTAAAATAAATTTGTCAGTGATTGCTCAGATCTGAACAATTTCACTTCTTTTCATGTATCATGCTGAACATTAGTAGGAAAAAATGTTGATGTGAATCTAATAATAACAATAATCGTAGAACTGCACAGCTGGAAGGGACCCTATGGATCACTGAGTCCAGCTCTGGCCAAGGAGGCACAGTGGAGAATCAAACTCCCAGTATCTAAACCACTGAGCTATCCAGCAGTAACTGAGCTGCTGCAGGATGTTTAGAACATGTTAAGTGAAGTTCTCCAGAGTCATTGGTCAGAGAGACATATCTAGATCAAGGAAGATAAGAAAATAATTTTGCTTTCAAGAAATAATAGCTCACTGTTTCTTCAGAGTAAGCCTCACTGCACACATTTCTATTTATTGTTTAGGACTACAACTTTAACCCATTATTTAAGAAAGGCTGGGCTATTGAATCATCTGGTCAGGCTCATACCTGGCTTAGAGGCAGATGCAGCATAGCAGCCAAAGGCAGAAAGGTGATCAGAAGGTGCATCACTAGGGAAACAGAAATAATCAGCAAATGTTATTAGAATCTCCACTTGCATAAGCTGTTTATCGGCAGGCTCACACAAAGCTAACTCCCATTAAGTCAGGCAGAACTTAACTCTGAGTAACTGTGCTTTTAACTGTGCACTTAGAATTAATCTATGGAAAGGTATTTTCCTCTGCTTGTGGGGTTAGAGTTACTGTACATTTAATGGGATATGCATGTTAAACAGTGTGGTGAGCAGAAAGGAACAGCTAGGGGCTGCACCATAGCATCTCAACCACCTTCACCATCTGTCCACTAAGAAGTATTGGAGCCTTCTTAAAACAGTGCATCCAAGCTCCCTCTCACTTAGGTGCTCCATTGGACACCATGGTCAAGAACTATGGAGAAGTCCAGAAGAAACAAAAAGGGTGCATATCTCCTATTCACTTCCTCACTTATATCATTCACCAAGGCAACCAGACATGTGGAAAGCACTGGAGATGGGTCATTACAGCAGATGAGCAATCCCACCTCCTGGCTTAGGATCCCCCTAGCTGGTCCACTTCTGCCTGCCTGCCTGTTTGCCTGCTTACTTACTTACATGTTCATGGGATGGCACTGGCTACCAGCTTCTTCCTTCATCAATCTCCTACTTGTGTCTTTGGAAATGCAACAACTCAGCCTGCTGAGATTCATGCCCCTTTCCCTTGAGGGTATAGGATATTATTGGTGGGGAGAAGTCTCTTGGCCCATGAAAACAATGGCAGGGAAGAGCAATAGAGGCCAAGAAGGAAATGGACTCCTATCAAAGAATCTCTCTCTCTCTCAAGTTGCTTTGGCTTTTTGGACTGAAAGAAAGATTAATACAACAGTGTGCCAGGATCGATCACTGTCTTTAAAATTTAGCAGAGGTGATACTGTCTACATTCAGTCTGGAATTTTGAAAAATTCTTTATGGCTCAGAAGATAAAATAACCCTGGCTCCTTCTGCTTGTATTAATGTGAGGCATTGAATTGTTGCAGCAGAAGAAAGAGGAGAGGAGAACTTTGTAGAAGACATGGGAGTCCCCTTCTGTACTATGGGGCAGAGCTCCATATAGCTGTCTGGTAATTCTATATCCCATTTAGGTCATAGGATCTTTGTTCCAGTCATATGGTAGTAGATCTATGCAACCCCATTATGAAAGTGCAAGAAAAGGTGATACCTTTACTTGACCATTAAGGATATAAAACAAAGTAT